TGTAAAGAGCATCACAATGCCCCCGGCCCCGCACAAGTTCACCCCAGCCTGGTGCTCCCAGGAGTCCCCGGGAGGTCCTGGAGCCCCTGACCACCACAGGCCCCATCTCGCCACCAAGGAAGGCCCTGGCCAAGGATGCTCAAGGTGAGATGATGCCCCAGGGCTGCAGCCAGGCAGGAGGGAGCACGGAGGCCCCAGCCAGGCCCCGTGCCCCCTCCCGTCCCCTCCTGCACCCCCACGGCTGGGAGTCAGGGGCCCTTCCAGAAGGTCTAGGTGTTAGAGCCGCTGCCCGATTTCTTCCCCTGCTGGGGTTGGGGGTGGGGGCCCCCACTGTCTCCTGGGGAGAGGAGCGGGGCTGGAGGTCCCCACAGGGCACTCTGGCTCCCTGGCTCCTGTGCGCACCGAGAGCATCCTGGGCGGCTCGGGTCACGTCGCCTGCCTCCTGGGCAACCTTGGGATCCGTAAAAATAGCAGCTACATTGTCCAGTGCTTAACAGGCTCAGGCACTTTACACAGAGGAGCTTGTTCAACCCTCAGAGTCAGCCTGTGACACGGAGTTTCTCCTCATTCCCACTGGTAGGTGGGCAAGCCGAGGTACCCAGTGGTCGTCCACCGGGCAATCTGCAGCTAGTGAGTGGGCCAGCTGGAAGTGGAGGCAGGAGGCTGGCTCCCAGCCCCCAGCCCCCTCCTGCCTCCCAGCCAATCCCGATCCCTGCGGAGCCCCTCTGCCACCACCTCAGGCAAACAGGGAAGGCTGGGAGTGGTTGCCTGCTGAGGCTGGCAGAAAAGACAGTTTGCACCCCTACCCCAGCCGCTGGACAACAGGGTCTCCGTGTCCCCATCCTGCAAAGGAGGCAGCTGCAGCTCCAAGGCTCAGCCACTGTAAAGGCAGGGTCAGGCCCTGAGCGCAGCCCTCCCCACCCCAAGGCCAGCAGGGTGCGCCCCAGCTGCCTCACCCAAGTAAGTGCTCCTTGCCTTACCCCCCACCCCCCACCCAGAGCCAGCTGCTGCCAGGTGTGGGCTGGGCCAGGCCCTGTGCCCATGGGCCCCCAGGAGTTTGAGAAGCCAGGATGCCTTCCTGGCTGACCTGTGGCAGTACCACGGGCGGGGTGGGGGTGGGGGTGGGGGAGCATCTTCTGGCCTGGCTCAGAGAGTCCACTCCTGAAGCGGCCAAGTCCTGGTGGCAGGACACACACAGGAACACACGTGTGCCTCTGAAAGGCTCCCATGGGGTCTGCCTGTGGGGGGCGGGGGCAAGGAGGGGGTTCTCTCCAGGATCCTTCTTGGGGCTCTGACTTGAAACCCAAATGGAAACAGGAGGCAGGATCCTGATGGGAGGGGAGGCAGCGAGCCCTCTGCCCGTCCTTTGCCGCTCCCCATGGAGTGGGAGTGGGAGGTGCAAGTGAGCGAGGCAGGCTGGGGAGCTGGAAGCATTTGTCTCCAAGCCGGGGTTTTGATGCCATTGACCTTGTGCTCCGCTCTGGGGGTGCTGCCCTATGTACCGTCAGATGCCCCCAGCTGTGACAACCGGCAAAAGTCCCCAGATCTGCCAAATGCCCTCTGGTGGAGCAGGGTGAGCAGTAGTGGAGGGAATCCCTGGTCCAAAAGGTTGAGAATCACTACACACACACACACACACACACACACGCACACTGACAGGCAGGGCAGGGGAGGGAGGAGACGGGTAAATGAAACCAGACGTTAACCAGGGAAGTATGCGGCCAGGCCCCGCCCTCCCCCAGAGCTGGCTGGGCCTGGGAGGAGACGATGCTCTCAGCCCTTTGGGGTTAGTCACCGGAGCCCAGCCTGGCCCTGGACGGGAAGGGCAAGGCCAGGACTGCCTGGGTGCCTTCTTCCTCTTCGTGTTCCTCCTCCATCCCCTCCCTCCCTCTCTTCTCTACCTCCGTCCCCCTCCCCCCATGGGACTGTACCTCTGCCCCAAGTCTGGGGCGGCCTGGCCCCTGGACGTGCTGGTGGGCCCCTGTGCGTTGCAGCAGCAGTAGCTGCCCCGTAGGCCCAGGGCAGGTGGCCCAAGCGGGGCCTGCGCTGGGGCAGGGAGGGAAAGGTGTGCTCAGCTCCCGGTTCCTGCACAGCTGACCCTGGGGCTTGTACGCGATGCTTACTCAAACGCTGCAAACCTGGCCGAGCGCTCGGACGCCTCTGGGCCTCAGATTCCTCATTTGGAACGCGGACGTCAGTGACAGCTCCAGGGGCTCTTGGGAGCTTTCGCAGAGCGGAAAGGCTGGTACCTGGCGCTTGGCGCATGCTTGGTCCTCTTAGCCGAGTGTCCTCTTCCCTCCAGGGCTCTCTGGCCAGTCCCCCAGCCATTCTGAAAGCATCTGCCTCTGTCACCCCAGGCACTGGCCTCCTGGGCCCAAAGGGTGGCCAAGTCTGTCCCAACCGTGACTTGGGCCTAGGATAAGACAAGCAATGGTACCTGGAGAGCAAAGCTAGAGAGGAGCCTGTACCTCTCTAAGAGCAGCTACTTCCTTAAAATGCGCACACTCCATTCCCTCTGGACCCTCCTGGTGGAGGACCACATCCCAAGAGGATGGCCAAGGGGCCCTGAAGAGATGAGATGAGGCAGGGCTGCAGGCAGCTTCAGGGAGGGCTTCCTGGAGAAGGTGTCAAGAGAACTACTGGGGCTGCGAAGGACAGGAGGAAATGCAGACTGGAGGCTCCTACCTGGTCATGTGCAGCTTGGTGATAGGGATTCTCTCAGAGAAATGCATTGTGTGATTATCATGGCAGCTCCCTAGGCAAGCTAAGCTGGCCACGACTTCACAGGGGACCACCGTACTGTGTGTGTGGTCCTTGGCTGGACATCGCTATTCATTATGGGGCTGGGCAGAGACCAATGGCAGCAAAGCCTGCCTTGGAAAAAAGCCCTGGACAAGTTCTGGGTTGGGCACATAGTTAGTAAAGTTAGACACCAAGGAGCCACTTTATGACTTCGGGCCCTGGGACTTCTTTTATAAGAGAGCAGGGGCTCCACTCACTCCCAGTCTGTAACGAGGGGCTCCCTCCCAGTGCCTGGAGGCTGGGCAGAGAGGAAGTGAGTTCCCCGTCAGCCTGACACACGTGTGCATGGATGTACGTTTCGTCCTTGATTGTGTGGTCTCAGCTAGGGAGGTCCCTAGTACAATGGGTGGCTGGCGGCTGGGGGACGGAGTGGGCGGTGGAAGGAGGGTGGACAAGACCATGGAGGTCAGAGAACCATCTAGAAGCACAGTGGAATGGGGTTTGGTGCAGCAGTTAAAATGCCACTGGGGATGCCCACATTCCGTACTGGGTATCTTAGCTCCACCCCCAAGTCCAACTTCCTGCTCGTGTGCACCCTGGAAGGCAGTAGCTTATGGTCAAATGGTTGGGTTCCTGTCACCCATGTGGGAGACCCAGACTGAGTTCCTGGTTCCTGGGCCTTTGGGAAGTGAACCAGCAGATGAGATCTCTCTCTCTCTCTCTCTCTCTCTCTCTGCCAAGTAAAATAAATGCAAACTTCAAAATAGGAGTATAGTCACACGCTACCCCACACGCTGGCGCTTTGGTCAATGACACACTGCATACGTGACAGCAGTCCTGTTGCCTAGTGACATCTGAGTTTGTGTAAGGACATTCTACGAGCCTCGCAGAACAAAGAATCGCCTCGAGGTACATTTCTCTGCTGTGTCCTCATGGTTAAGTGGTGATGCGTAGCTGTGAATAGACGTCACAACACTGTGGCGGACTGAGGCAGAGGGGACCCCGAGAAAGTGGGTGGATCCCGACACGCGAGCGAGCAAGAGCGGTGGCTAAGGGAAGGCTGGCTTTGCTGGATTGGGGGTGCACTTGGTAACAATGAGCGATGTTCTAAAATAGAATGGGTGGCTGGCAGGTGAGCCGCCCCGGCCTGGAGCTCAGCTGAGTGGAGCCAGCGTTTCCAGAGTGCTCTCTAAATGCCTTGGTCTGGAGCAAGAGAGGGACTAGGATTTTGGAGACTGTTATGCCAAGAGTAAGAGAGACAGAATGACGAGTAAGACAAGCGGTGCCCCAAGGGGCTCGGGCAGAATTTCCCTCCTGAATGGGAGGAGAGCATGCCAAGCCGGGAAACAGCCTGTGTAAAGGCTGGGGGACCTGGAAGGGCGCTGTGTGGCCGGGAAGGAGGGGTCAGGCGGTGTGGCTGGAGCACGGGGCGGTGCAGGGACCGGGAAGCTGGCGAGCGGCAGCCACGTCGCCCGAGGTCTTGAACTCCAAGGCGAGCGGCTTTGGGCTTTATTTGCTAGACAGTAGCAAGCGAAAGGTCTTTGAGGAAGCGAACCAAGTAGTCTGGCCATCGATTTGGAGCGGCTTCCTCTGGAGTGGGCAGAAGCAAGGGCTGGGAAGGCAAGCTGGGGGGGAGGCAGGAAGACTTGCAGGAGAGGGTGGGGGGATGGGCTGGCATCTGGGAGCAGCTAAGACGCAGCTTGGGACACGTGCACCCTGTGTGATGGTGCCTGGGTCTGAGTCCAGCTTTCACTTCCCATCCAGCTTCCTGCCGACGCACCCTGGGAGGCGGCAGTCATGTCTCAGGGATGTGGTTCCTACCTCCCATGTGGGAGACCCAGAATCAGTGCACTCCCAGCTTTGGCCTGGCCAAAGCGCTGGCTGTTGCAGGCATCTGGAGAGTAAACCAGTGGATAGAGTATCATTCGCTGTCTCTGCCTTCCAAATAAAATGAAAATATATAAATTAAAAAAAAAAAAACAGAAGTGGATGGGCCTGAGGGGTCAGTGGCAGAAAGCCAGATGGAGCCACGTGGAAGAGGCTGACTGATAGGACATGTGGGGGAGCAGGGGGGGCTGAGGATGATCCCCAGCTCCCAGAGTCCGTGAGCCGCAGCAGACGGTCAGGTCTGCAGACCCCTGGCTCCCTGGCCCGCAGCACTGTGCCCCCGGGTGGCCCTGGCAGTGGCCCCTTCTCCTCCCTGCTGCCCCTGGCCCCAGGATCGGAAGTCCTAAACTCTCTCCTTTCCCTCCTCTCAGGACTTACAGAAACCCTCGGTACCCAGCCATGGGCCCGAGACACCATCAGGCAAAAAGGTGAAGCCTGCACACCCAGCCCTGTCCCGCAAGTGGAAGCAGGACCGTGAGCCATCTCTGGCAGCCGCCTACGTGCCGGTGGTGGTGGATCCCCAGGGGCGGAACTGGGACAAGCTCAGGTTCAAGTTCTACACCTCCCAGTATTCCAACTCTCTGAACCCCTTCTACACCTTGCAGAAACCTACCTGCGGCTACCTGTACCGCCGGGACACTGACCACACTCGCAAATGCTTCGACGTGCCTCCTGCCAACGTGGTCTTATGGCGCACCTAGGCTGGTGCCAGCCAGAAGCCCTCCACACTGTACCTGCCTCCCCGGGGCCGCCGGTCCCAGAGGGAAAGGGCTGAGTGCTCCAGGAGGAGCAGCACCTGCCTGGGCTGAGACAGCTGCGCCATGTCCACCTGCTGACAGTGGCAAGTGGGGGGAGGTCTCTTAGCAGCAATTAAAGTTGGTGCTTCTTCTTTATGGGTGGCTGTGGACGGGAAGCTGAGGCCAGGGGAGTGCTGTACAGCAAGGTTGTGCCCAGAAGGGCTTGAACACTTGGAAGGACATGGTTCTCAGTCTCCCCAGCTCCCCTCCAAAGCCCAAGTCCTGAGTCCAAGTCCGGCAAGCCCTCAGATGTAAGAAAGACACACGTCGGCAGAACACGACTCTGCTCTCTTCCAAGGTTCTCTCACCCTGGTCGTAGTGGGGCTGGAAACCGGGGAGGAGCTAAGGGTTTCTAAGGAGCCAGGGGCCGGTGTGAGCCCACTGTGCGCATCTCTGTCCAGCTCCGCACTCAGCAGCTTCGCGTTGGACTGTTCCCTGCCCCCACCATGGAGATCAGCGAACGCCTTCACGTTGGGGCTGCTTTTTCCCACAGAGCCAAGTGTTAAAATAGTGACCGTGAACCCTGCTGGTTTCGTTCCTAGGAGTCACGTTGCAACTCTGCTTATGTGGTGTATTCAGTGGGGGCATACTTCTTGCGCATAAGAGGTTGGGGGGCTGGTGTGGGAAGGAGGGACAGGATGCCTGGGGACCCAGACAAGCAGCCAGTGGCGCTGCCAGGCCGCCGGGGACGGTGAGTGGGGAGGAAGGCAGAGAGGCCCAGGGCAGTGGGGGGTCTGAGTGTTCGTGAAGGCTCAGCAGAGGCGCCCTTTTGTCAAATGTCTGCTGACCTTGGCTGGAGCCAGGCCCCTTGGCATCCAGGCTGGTCTCTGCTCGCTTATTGATGTTCAAGGGGGATGGTTGTTCGAGGAAGCTGGAGAGGCGCCCATAGCTCCCCGTGTATAGAGTGGATCCTCTCTCTTCCCGAGGTGAGGCTGTGACAGCGACCAGGGCCTCTATGGGCCAACTCTGCAGAACAACCTTCAGCGGGGGCAGGAGCGGACCTTCTTTTTTAGATTTATTTTATTTATTCGAAAGAGTTACAGAGAGGGAGACACACACACACACACACACACACACACACACACAGGTCTTGCATCCACTGATTCACTCCCCAAATGGCCACAACAGCCAGAGCTGAGCTGATCTAAAGCCAGAAGCCAGGAGCTTCTTCTGGGTCTCCCTCGTGGGTGCAGGGGCCCAAAAACATTAGCAAGGAGCTGGATTGGAAGTGGAGCAGCTGGGACTTGAACTGGCGCTCATACAGGATGCTGGGGTCACAGCGGGTGGCTTAACCTGCTGTGCCACAGTGCCAGCCCTAAAACATTTTAGGCGCACTTAGTACCATTTGAGTGGGATTTTGAAAGAGAAGCAGAGATAAATGTAGGAAGTCCTAACCAGTCAGTCAAATCAAGCCACAGACACTGTGGCCTGGGTCCTTGAGATGCACAAATACGAACGGGAGCCTCCTCTGCTCGCCCCTGCCTTGCAGCCGGTGACTGGTGAGGCGCAGGGTTGCCATCAGAGGAGTCCTCTCTTCTCTTGCAACGCCTCTTCCGGTCCCCTGGAGAATGGCGCCCCCTTGAGGCTCGCCTTGGTAGAGCAGCCTCCACTGAGTCCTTTCAAGAAGCTGGCCCAAGTCCCACCTTGTTTTGAGCAGGAAAACCACCCCAGGCAAATTCACCGGCTCCCAGGGCCCTGCCAAGTTTCTGTGGAGAGCAGGCAGGTGAGCAGCCCTGGAGGGCTATGGGTCAGGCCCGAGGCTGCTGCCTCTCGCACCGGCACCTGCCTCAGCCCCAGTCACTGGCATTTTCTCTCTCTCTGATTTGGCGTCTGTCCCTGGAGTATTCCTGCAGCCAGAGGAGCTGGGAGAGCCTCAGAGCCTCCTGGATCACCCGTGCCCGCCAGCCCTCCATCCCCGCCACCAACCCCTTCCCTCCAGCTCCCTGGGGGTATACAGTCCTGGGTGACTTGGCAGCCGTGTCTCAGGGGAGGCCATTCCCACCTTGGGCTGGCGCCAGGGCGTGGGGGCCCACCCTACCTGAAGGGAGCTGTGAGGCAGAGGGCACAGGGGCAGGCTGAGGGGGTGGCACTGGAGGGAGGGCTTGTGGGCTCTGCGCCCCCCGCCCCCCCAGGGCTGCTGCTTTGGAGACCTGCAGGCTTAGGTTCAGCACGAGCAGGTGAAGTGGAGGCGCTTTGATAACCGCCGCTTAAAACGTCTACAGACCCGAGCAGGTGATTTAAGTTTTCTGCCCCCAATTCTCACTTGCATGGGAATAATAATACCCAGGCCTCGGGAGCCTGCCGTGTTGTGGTCCTGGGGTTCCACCCTATTTCTTCTTTAGTGTTTTCTTCTAAAGATGTATGTTATTTCCCTGAAAGAGTTTCAGAGGGAGGGAGGGAGACAGAGGGACACACAGAGAGAGGTTTTCCATCTGCTGGTTCACTCCCCAAATGGCTGCCATGGTCAGGGCTGAGCCAGGCTGATGCCAGGAGCCAGGAGCTTCTTCTGGGTCTCCCACACAGGTTCACGGGCCCAAGCATTTGGGCCATTCTCTGCTGCTTGCCCAGGTGCATTAGCAGGGAGCTGGATGGGAAGAGGAGCAGCCGGGACCCAGGTATGGCAGGGGCTACCAGGGCTGCCCCGCAGGCCCCTTCATGCCTTGACTGAAGACTCGTCCAGCATGTCAGATGGAGGCCGTGAGAGCTGGCTTAATGACGGGCAGCAGCCGTGTTGCAGATGCCCCTGGGGCCTGGAACTGTGGGCGGCCTCTAGAGGTGCCGGGCTGCTGCTTGGGCCAGACCAGGCGCCAGGGCCCTCGGCCACACAGCCCGGGGCAACCGCTCCACCTGCCATCTGCACGGGGGGCGTGGCTGCCTCTCCCATCCAGCCTCCAGGTGAGGATACAGCCCATAGGACACCACGCATGCAGCCCGTGGGACCCCAGGCTGTGCCGGATCTGGCCCACAGAAGCTGTGAGATAATCCAAGTGTATTGCTTTAAGCTGCTGACTCGGTCATGATCAGTTGTGCAGCACACAAAACTGATACCAGACATTTGCAGAATGTCAGGGGGAAAGAGGAATTCAGGAAGGCTTCACGGAGGAGGTGGCATTTGTCCTCGCACATGAAGACTGAGGAGGCTTTAATGGGGAGGAGAGATGGGAGGATGAGCTTCTGCCTCCTCCGGGACGCCTGAGAGGACTCTGCAAGGACCCCAACTTCAGCTGGGCTCCCCACAAGGTCACGGAGGGACCCTCTCATGCCCTGCCCCACGTGTCTGGAGAACTGGACCAAACCAGGACAGTCCTGGCTCCCCACGCCCCTTAAATGGACCACTTTAGGTTGAGCATAGGTCACGCAGCGCTGTTTTCCCTTTCAAAAATACCCGTCTTCAGAAAACACAGGTACGTTTTATAATCAAGGCATAAAAATAAAAATCGCTGGTGACCCCGTGACCCAGCACTGAGCTCTGCGTCAGCATTTGGTGGCTTCCTTCTGGTCACAGTATCGCGTGTGCAGTGAGTGACGGGGCCGGGGTGCCCGGGTCAGCTCCTCCGGGTCTTTCTCTCCCTGGCCAGCTGAGGCGCCTCCTAGCTCTGGGCGCTTCAGGTCACTTGCTCAGGAAAATGGGCAAAAGGAGTTGCAGAATTGGAAAGAAGAGAGGCCAACCCGTGGTGCTTATGATGCGAAGGGCAGATAACTGCAGTGGTGGGGTTTGGGGGAGACCAGATCCAAGAAGCCAGACCTGGCCCAGGGCGCACGGCCCCTGCCCAGCCCCGATGATGTCTACAGATGCCCTGTAAGACAGGGCCAGACAAGCTTCCTTCCTGCCATGGCCCAGCCCGGGTCTGAGGGCCCCTATGGTGAGCACCTTGGTCAAGTGGGGAGGTCCCGGGTCGGTGCTGTGGCATAGTGGGCCAAGCCTCCGCCTGTGGGGCCGGCATCCCATATGGGCGCCGGTTCGAGTCCCGGCTATTCCACTTCCAATCCTGCTAATGGCCTGGTACAGCAGTGGAAGACGGCCCAAGTGCCTGGGTCCCTGCACCCACGTGGCTGACCTGGAAGAAGCTCCAGGCTCCTGGTGTTGGATGGGGTCAGCTCCGGCCGTTGTGGCCAATTGGAGAGTGAACCAGAGGTTGGAAGACCTCTCTCTGAGTCTCCTTCCCTCTCTCTCTTTCTCTTCCTCTCTCTGTAGCTCTACCTCTCAAATACATAAGTAAAATCTTTAAAACAGTAATTCAGTTGTTAAAAAAAAAATGGGAGGTCCCTCCTGGGGCGTGCAGGGTCTCCCTTCTGGTTGCTAACGTGTTCCCTGAGCTGCTGCCAGGGAGGGCTGTGGGGCTGGGTGCTGTCCAGGGCGCAGGCCCCCCTGCAGGCGGGGCTCCCCCGTGGCTCAGGCAGGGCTCAGTCTGCGGATGTGCACGTTGGGCCTGGCCCCGCTGCCTGGCAGGCCGTGCGCTTACCTTCTCCTCAGAGCTCTGCCACCTCTCCAGGTCCCTGGTCCCCACTGCTGTCCAGTTCTCGGAGAACTGTCTGAGAGTCCCAGGCGGGGCTGTGGCACAGCAGGTGAAGCCCCCCCTACAGCACCGGCCTCCCCTAGGAGAGCCAGTTAGAGTCCTGGCGCTCCACTTCCCATCCAGCTCCCTGCTAATGCACCTGGGAAAGCAGCAGCAGATGGCCCAAGCGCTTGGATTCCTGTACCCATATGGGAGACCCAGACAGAGTTCCAGGCTCCTGATTCAGCCTGGCCCAGCCCCAGCTGTTGCAACCCTTTGGGGAGTGAAGCAGCAGATGGAAGATCTCTTTCTCTCTGTGTCTCTCCCTCCCTCTCTATAACTCTGCCTTTCAAATAAATAAATCTAAAAAAAAAAAAAAAAAGAGCCACAACATGACATTCCTCACACAAAATTGCAAAGAAAAACTCTTTTACTCGTGCCGCCACCCTCAGACTACCTCCCGCGTTTCTGGTTTTTTGTTCACATAAAGAGGGGACTGCTTATTTATTTATTTATTTATTTGACAGGCAGAGTGGACAGTGAGAGAGAGAGACAGAGAGAAAGGTCTTCCTTTGCCGTTGGTTCACCCTCCAATGGCCGCCACAGCTGGCGCACCGCGCTGATCCGATGGCAGGAGCCAGGTGCTTCTCCTGGTCTCCCATGGGGTACAGGGCCCAAGCACTTGGGCCATCCTCCACTGCACTCCCTGGCCACAGCAGAGAGCTGGCCTGGAAGAGGGGCAACCGGGACAGAATCCGGCACCCTGACCGGGACTAGAACCCGGTGTGCTGGCGCCGCAAGGCGGAGGATTAGCCTAGTGAGCCGCGGCGCCGGCCGAAGGGACTGCTTTCAAACATAACCAGAAATAGGCGAGAGGCTCCAGGAGCCATCATGTCACTTGTTCCCAAGTAATAGGAACAAGAAATTAGCTTCTGTTGCTTTAAGCCGGAAGATTTTAGAATTGTTTGTGACTGTAGCATAACCTAGCCTGTTCTGGGACACATGATCCATGTTTGTTTGTTTTTTAAGATTTTATTTATTTGAGAGGTAGATTTACAGACAGTGAGAGAGAGACACAGAGAGAAAGGTCTTCCTTCCGTTGGTTCATTCCCCAAATGGCCGCAACGGCCAGAGCTGTGCTGATCCGAAGCCAGGAGCCAGGTGCTTCTCCTGGTCTCCCATGCGGGTGCAGGGCCCAAGCACTTGGGCCATCCTCCACTGCCTTCCCGGGCCACAGCAGAGAGCTGTACCGGAAGAGGAGCAACTGAGACTAGAACCGGCATCCATGCCGGCGCCACAGGCAGAGGATTAACCTAGTGCGCCACGTCACCAGCCCCCATGATCCATGTTTTACAGATAATATAGATCATATATGCATGTGAATTTATTCGTTAGTAATTCCATTTACCTAATCCAGAGTTCACATGACTAATAGCGTGTATGTGTATACACATCTGCCTTAGTCTTCAGTCTGAAGCAGCCTGGAGGACCGCCCCGCAGCCTGGGAGGGGCCTGGGGTGCAGCTGGGGGTCCCAGGGAGGAACCCAGCAAGGCTGATCCACTAGAAAGTGTCTGAAAGTGTGTCAGCCAGGGTGAGGAGTTGGCTGCAGGACAAAGCGTCCCCACAGGCCCCCTTCCTCACATGTAAACTGCCGTGGCTGATCATCAGAGCACAGCTTTTAAAAACTATTTAGTTATTTTCATTTTTAAAAAATATTTATTTATTTATTTGAAAGAGTTACACAGAGGAGAGACAGAGAGAGAGGTCTTCCATCTGCTGGTTCACTCTCCAGTTGGCCGCAATGGCTGGAGCCAATAGCTTCTGGGTCTCCCACGTGGGTGCAAGGGCCCAAGGACTTGGCCCACTTTCTACTGCTTTCCCAGGCCATAGCAGAGAGCTGGATCAGAAGTGGAGCAGCCAGGACTTGAACCAGCGCCCATATAGGATGCTGGTGCTTCAGGCCAGGGCGTTAACCCATTGCACCACAGCACCAGCCCCAGTTATTTGTAAGGCAGAGAGAGAGAGAGAGAGATCTTCCATTCACTGGTTCACTCCCCAAATACCCACAACAGCCAGAGCTGGGCCAGGCCAAAGGCAGGAGCCAGGAGCTCCCTCGGAGTCTCCCACGGGGGTACTTGGGCCATCACTTTGGGCCATCCCCAGGTGGGCATTAGAGGAAGCTGGATCTGAAGCAGAGCAGCCGAGACAGACCGGCACCTCAATATGGGGTGTGGCCATTTCGAGTGGGGCCTTGACTGCTGTGCCCAAAGTCTGTCCTTCAGTGTACAACCTGACTAAGTGTCCACGGCCCCACGGGGGAAAGCAGAAACGTGGGCAGTGGTTCCTCCTGGCTGAGTCAGGGGCCCTGGGCTTGGTCCACACGTAAGAGGAGAGGGGGATACGAAGGCAGACACAGGACAGGGTCAGTGCACCTGCCCCTCGCTGCTGACTCCACACACGAAGCAGCTTTAAAGCCTGTGGCCAGAGCGCCGACAGAGGAAGCTGCTGCTGCACCCTTAGGTTTGGCCTAGACTTCCGGGACTGGCAGGTAGCTGCTCACCCACGCACCTGAGTGCCTGGGCGCTCACTCACACATTCACACATGCCTCAGGGCACCAATGCCCTCTCCACCCCCATGCCCCTGCTGTGGTGTCAGGTTCAGAGTCAGATGGAGGAATGTGAGGAGTGTGGTCAGCACAGGACCAGCAGGCCCGTGGTGCATATGCGTGTGTGTGTGTGTCCGGTGTAGCCCCTGGCTGCTCAGGTCTCCTCTCGGGGCCCACAAGGTCTGCGTGCACCGGGGTTCTTACATACTTCCTCTCCAGGGTGGGCTTGAACCCCCTCAGGGCGATGCCCGGGTGCAGGGCACAGCCTGGAAATCTGCACAGTAGCCCGGTGCCGAGCCCACAGTTGGTCCCACGCTGGAGGAGGAACCAGCTGCATCTCCCTGCACCTCAGGCCTGTGTCAGAGAGCAGGATGCAGGCAGGTGATGAACCTGCTCAGCACAGAAGGACATAGAGGTCATAGGATCAGAGCAGCCGCTGGCCAGCCACCCACGGTGCCGCGGTAAGAAGGGATTAGGTGACTGCAAACTGGGTAAGAAAATCCTCTCACCCCCAGATCAAGGCCTCTATTCTGACAGCTTTGTTCTATTCTCACCCCTCGTTCCCAGGGTGCAGCGGGCACCTTCAGTACTGGTTCCTTTGCACAGCCCTCCGTCCTTGCACCCGCCTCCTCTCCACATGTCCCCTGTCTGACTCTTCAAGCCCTTTGCTCAGACCTGCAGGAGCCAGGCCTGCGAGCGAGGAAGGCCCAGGTGCCTTCACGCGGAGGGGCCGCAGGGAGCAGGAGCTGTCCAGCTGGGGCGCCCGCCTCCTACAGGCCTGTGAGATGGGCAACGTGGTGGAGGGCAAGTCGGTGGAGGAGCTGAGCAGCACCGAGTGCCATCAGTGGTACAAGAAGTTCATGACCGAATGCCCCTCTGGCCAGCTCACCCTCTACGAGTTCCGCCAGTTCTTCGGCCTCAAGAACCTGAGCCCGACGGCCAGCCAGTATGTGGAGCAAATGTTCGAAACCTTTGACTTCAACAAGGTGGGCAGAGGCTGGGGCGGCTGGCAGGGAGGCCCCGGCGGGCCTGGCCAGGTTGCGGGGTGGGGAGAGCCGGTGGCAGGGCAAAGGTATCGGCCGGAGCTGGCACTACTTCATGTGTACGATCATTTAGGAGGCTGAGGGGTTCAGTCTGTGCAGTGTTGGTTAGGCAGCTGCTTCCAAAGCAAGGGTGAGCCTGCCGGGGAGCCTCTGGAGCACCTACTATGTGCTGGGCAGCACGTGGTGCTCCGGCAAGGCCTCCAGGGCTCACAGCAAACAGCAGGAGAGACAGAGTGGGCGGCTGGATCTGCATCCCGGGCTGGACGGGGACCTGGGTTACCGTGACGTTCTGTAGACGCTGGGACTTGGGACGAGCAGGGTTGCTTGGTCATAGGGGGATGCCAGGGTACTCCCAGGTCCAAGCCATGCCGCGGCCTCACTTCATCTTTTCTCACATGGTTCTGAAGATGCACACATGGTCAAAGTGCCCGTCTCCCCGAGTAACCAGCTGTCTAGGGTGGGTGAGGATTCCCTGAGAAGTGAGGGAGGACACAGAGGTAGCTGGGAGCCGTGAGACGGCACCCCCACCTGCCCCGGCCCTGCTCTGGTCAGCTGCGTGACGCGGGGCCCGGGATCACCCCTGTCGGCCTCAGCTTGTTCACCTACACCTGCCGTGGATGTTGGGAGCATCCATTGTTGGTTTTCACCAGGAAACCTTCCAGTTATTTGGAACAATTCCGTCAAGACGGAGTGGGGAAGGAGCCCCAAGCCACAAACCCAGCCCCCACTGCTGTCCCCTCCCATGAAGGTCTTGGGCTGCCGGGTGCCCCCTGTGGGCCCAGGGGAGGCGCCCCTCACACCCAGATGGTCCAAATGCCATGATAGGTGGGGCCTCTCGGGAAAGCTGGGCTCAGCGGCTATTTAAAACTCGCTAACATTGGAGCTAGGGGCCAAAGCGGATTACAGAGCTTTGAGCTCCAGCCTCAAGGGCAGTGTCCTCCCGCCTGAGGCTGTCTTGAAGTGGGGGGGGGGGAGCAGGACACCTGGGGGCTGCACCCTGCAAGGCCCTAGAAGAAGCAATCGCTCCTGAGCAGGAGGGGAAGCCCGCAGTGGACCCCCCCTCCCCCAGCACGCCCCAGCACGCCCCAGCATCCCCACCATGTCCCGCCATGTCCCAGCACACCCACCACGTCCCACCATGTCCCACCACGACCCAGCACACCCCAGTAGCCCTACCACGACCCAGCACACCCCAGCAGCCCCACCATGACCCAGCATGCTCCAGCAGCACCCCACACCCCATGCCCAAGTGTCTTCTTTCCGGGAAGGAAACCTTTCAGGTGAACACACATCTGCAGAACGACCCCTGACATTCCACACAGGACGCCAGGGAGGGGCAGCTCCTCAACCCTGTATTTGCCTAACCTGAGTCATTTGTTTGCCTCTCTGTTGTTGTTTTATCATTTGCAAGAACCACCTGTACTGTTCCAAACCTGATCCCTTTCTTTCTGTTGGAAGTGAGTCGGGGGCAGGCATCGTGGGGCAGCTGCTGCTCGGGACGTCAGCATCCCCCAGCATTGTGCCAACTCCTCCATTTCCAATCCAGCAATCTGTTAATGCACACCTTGGGCTTGTGCCACCCACATGAGAGATCTCAATTGAGTTCCTAGCTTTGGCCTGATAAATATAAATAAATGGGCTGGCGCCACAGTTCAATAGGCTAATCCTCCACCTTGCGGAGCTGGCACACCGGGTTCTAGTCCCGGTCGGGGTGCTGGATTCTGTCCCGGTTGCCCCTCTTCCAGGCCAGCTCTCTGCTGTGGCCCGGGAGTGCAGTGAAGGATGGCCCAGGTGCTTGGGCCCTGCACCCCATGGGAGACCAGGAGAAGCACCTGGCTCCTGGCTTCGGATCAGTGCGGTGCACCGGCGGCAGTGCACCAGCCACGGCGGCCACTGGAGGGTGAACCAACAGCAAAGGAAGACCTTTCTCTCTTTCTCTCTCTCTCACTGTCCACTCTGCCTATCAAAACAAACAAACAAACAAACAAAAAAGAATACACTGTACCCACTTACTTATGAATTGCTAGTAGTTGCTTTTTAAAAAAGAACTTACTTATTTTCATGTTATTTGAAAGGCAAAGAGGCAGAGAGAAAGAGGTCTTCCATCTGCTGGCTCACTCTCTAAATATAACAGCCAGGGCTGGGCCAGGCTGAAGCCAGGGCCCAGGAACTCCATCCAGGTCCCCCACATGGGTAGCAGGGCCCGAGCACCTGGGCCATCATCTGCTGCTCGTCAGAGTGCACATCAGCAGGAAACTGGATCAGAAGCTGTGTAGCCCAGGACTGGAACCAGGCATTCCTACATGGGATGGGGCGGGGGGGTTCCAAGCAGTGACTGAGCCTCTGGGGCAAGCCTGCCCTTCTGGGGCTGCTTTTGCACTAAGAGGGCAGAGTCTGTTCGGCTGCCAAGTTGAAGTAGCTGCCAGCCCCTGAGTTAGAAGATGAACCCTGGGCAATGAGAATGGGGCCAGCAGTGCGTCTGGACCAGGGATCAGCATACACTTTGCTTACTTTAGCATCGTGCCTGGGCTTGGCTGGGCCTGGCAATCACACAGGTGCACACAAATCCATGCAAATCTCCCATCCTGCATCTGAGCACCAGCGTAGGACGTGGGGGATCAGTTTCTCCATAAGGCTTTGTCACTCATCGGCCGTGTGGCCCCATCTCACTCACCTTCAGTTTTCTCGTACAAAATGGGGACAAAAGCACCCACCTCCCGGGATTGGCTGAGATGGAGTGAGTGAAATGAAGACAGCAGGCAGCACAGGAAGCCCCTGGGGAACTTGGTTGGTGCTACTGCGGTGCTACCACTGAATCGAATCCACACCGCGGTCTTGAAAAGCACATAGCATCATCCCCGTTTTGCAGCAGAGCAAACAGACCCCAGGTCGTGTGCTTGTCCAGGGTCACGCCTCTGCTAAAGAGGAGCTTTAGATCTTTTTTTTTTATTTTTAAAGATTTATTTATTTTATTTATTTGAAAGTCAGAGTTACACAGAGAGAGGCAAGGCAGAGAGAGGTCCTCCATCCGATGTTTCACTCCCTGGTTGGCCATAACGGCCGGAGCTGCCCCCGTCTGAAGCCAGGAGTCAGGAGCTTCCTCCAGGTCTCCCACATGGGTGCAGGGGCCCAGGGACTTGGGCCATCTTGTACTGCTTTCCCAGGCCATAGCAGAGAGCTGGATTGGATGTGGAGCAGCCGGGTCTCGAACCAGCACCCATATGGGATGCAGGCACTTCAGGCCAGGGCGTTAACCCACTGCACCACAGTGCCAGCGCCAGCCCTAGGCTTTAGATCTCACTGGCACAAAACCCATGCCTTTTCCCTTGTACCTTTCAAGCCATTGCTATTAGTATTATTTTAATTGCAGAAGTCACACAGCTTCTAGTAAAAATGTCCAGCACTACAGACAGATAAAGACCGAAAAAGCAAACGTATCCTCATCCCTTCCTCACTTATCCATGTCCACATGACCGCGGTGCCCACCACGGGGCTCAGAAGGGGGACGGTGTGGCTCAAAGGCCTGCACAGCCCAGCTCTCAGAGGCTGTCCTGTCCCACCCCCACCTCCTCCCTCCTGGCCTCGGCTTGGATGCCCGACAGGGAGCGCTCAGTTGCACCAGGCTGGTCCCTCCCCAGGCAACTGTGCCCGTTAAAGAGTGCTTCACACTGGCCGCAGATTTGCCTCTGGGTAACTTCCTGGCTCCAGGGTCATGGTTGTGAGTAAATGGAGGGACAGCGGCTGGAGTCCATGCTTACCTGCTCCGAGTCCAGTGCTCCTTTCCTCTCTGCTAGACAAACCCTCCCCCCCCCCCCGGAATCCCCTCACCAGCCACGCTTGATTTGGGGGCAGCGGGCCGAGGCAGTCCCCATGCCCCCTGCTTCTTTGACCTCACAGCCAGAGCCAGCCAGAGTGTCATTCTTGTCTCGCGGGAATGTCTCGTGCCACCGTCCCCAAGCCCAACTCCTCCACGACTCAGTGGGGTTATCACCTCCTCCAGGAAGCCCCCCAGCCCCCTTTCCTACTGCCCTAGCCCCAGCAGAGTTCTGGGCTCCTGTGTTGTGATTCTGTCTCTGTCCAAATGTGTTGTTGTTAAATATACCTCCTGTATAGTGACCTCTTTGTAGAAATGCTGGTAACTAGTGGTGACAAGGTAGCATGGCAGCTGAGTGCTCCTCCTACAGGAGCTCATTTAACACCAAGTCCCTTGTCCCAGGTCCTACAGCTGGTTACTGGGCTGGGGGCGGACAGCCAGGATTCCAGCCTGTGCCCCCAGCACTGTTGGGTCAGGATTTCTATCTTCCTGAGTTCCGACTCCTACAGGCTACCTTCCACAGCACGTGGCCGGTGCTCAGTCAAACTCAGACCTTGAAGGGCAGAACCAGACAGGTGCTCCTCGCCCCAGCTCCGCCTCCTGCCCACCCCAGCTCCTCCAAGTGCCCGGGTGCGGGTTTTCCTCCTCCCACCCCCACACACCCAGAAGGGCTCAAGTGTGGGACCCACAGGGAAGTGCAGGGACACTGGCAAGACCATAACGCCCCGCCAAGTGACATTCATTCACGCTGCATGGGAGTGGTTTATCAGGTTTGACGAGCAGCCTAGGGGACAGGCCGGGTGGGCTACGCTGGGCGTTGGCCTGGGGTGAGGGGTGGGGGACAGAAAAGAGGACAGGCACAAAGGCGACCAGGGGCGCGAGGACGCAACTGCCCTACCCGGGGGTCCAGGTCTCCTCTCAGCAACTCTGCCTGATGGGGGCGTGGCCTTGCTTAGAGGGCGTGGACCGGACGGGGTGTGGTCCGTGGAGGGTGTGGTCCCGGCGGGTGTGGCCTGGTGGGTGTGGCCGGGCGGGGGCGGGGGCGGGGCGGGCTCACGCTCCACGCCCCTCGCCCAGGACGGCTACATCGACTTCATGGAGTACGTGGCGGCGCTCAGTCTGGTGCTGAAGGGGAAGGTGGAGCACAAGCTGCGCTGGTACTTCAAGCTCTACGACGTCGACGGCAACGGCTGCATCGACCGCGACGAACTGCTCACCATCATCCAGGTAACCCAGGCGCAGCGGGCCGGGCGGGCGACCCGGAGCCGCGAGCCCCTCGCAGTCTCAGGACTGAGACTGAGGGTCTGGGAGACAGCCCCGGCCCGCAGCGCCGGTGCCCTGGGCCACGTCCCTCTCCCGCGGTGGTGGCCATAGTTTCCTTATTGGTCCCAGGAGGCTGGGGAGCCGGACTCTTGAGACTCAGCTCTGCTAAGGGCCCGGGTGCGGTGGTCTCTTGGTCTCTTGCTGTCCCCACCCCACCGCTGAGACAGAATTAGGACGGGTCCCCTCACCTTTTATATGAAACATTTAATTCATTTATTGGAAAGGCTGAGGGCTATATAGGAGAGCAAGAGAGAGAGAGAGAGAGATCTTCGCCTGCTCGTTCACTCCCCAAATGCCCACCACAGCCAGGGCTGGGTCCCACCGAGAGGCTGGAACTCCATCTCCAGCGTGGGTGGCAAGGACCCGAGTAGCTATCACCTCCTGCCTCCCAGTCAATGACCGGGAAGCTGGACGGAAGGCCCAGGCACTCTCTGTGCGATGTGGGCGTCCCAAGCGTGGTCTCATCCGCTGCACCCAGGGCCTGCCTGGGCCTCACTGTGCCTTTGCCGCCCTCCCAGGCCATTCGAACCATTAACCCCTGGAGCGACTCCACCATGACAGCAGAGGAGTTCACCGACACCGTGTTCTCCAAGATTGACGTCAATGGGGATGGTGAGGGGCCCGAGGAGGGCTCACGGGGGGGGGGGGGGCGCTGGGGGGCCACCAGGGGAGGGGGCGCCAGGGGAAGGGTGGGAGGAGAGGAGGAGCACGAGGGCCCTCTGCTAGTCTCCTCCGGCTGTCCCTGCACTGCACAGTGGACTGCGGCTCTGCCCGCCCGCTGCACCCACAGGCTGCTTCCCCTAGCGGGCTCTGGACCCTGGACTGCGGCCCTGAATGCCCTCCTCCCCGTGGCTCCCTCTCTCTCTACCAGGGGAGCTGTCCCTGGAGGAGTTCATGGAGGGTGTGCAGAAGGACCAGATGCTCCTGGACACGCTCACACAAAGCCTGGACCTCACCCGCATCGTGCGCAGGCTCCAGAATGGCGAGCAGGATGAGGAGGGGGCTGGGGACGGGGAAGCCAAGGCTGCCGGCTGAGCCCACTGCCCGCTGCTTCTGCACTGGGGGTGGCGGCGTATGGTGGTGCCTGGTGTCACTGGTGTTCTTGTCTTAATACTACATAGAATCCACTGAACAGGAAGCTCAGCTCACCTCCTTGGAGAGCATGGCGGCCGCAGAGGGGCTGGGCCGGGAGTCCAGAACCTGCACAGTGAAGGATGGCCCCGGAGCCTCCGGGTGACTCGGTGGCAGGGAGGCTCCATGCTCGGGCCGCTGCTCAGCACCTCTAGGCCCTCCGGCTCCTCCATTGCCCCTGCTGGCCTCTCTCCCACCTTTCCCCACTGAGCAACCCGGTCCCTAGTCTTCTGGCTGCGGGGCCCTGAGTCAGGACTGGGCTTTCCTGGGCTTCTGGTGGAACCCTACAGACCTGGTGCCCACAGCCTCGATGGTGGCACTGCAGCCACACCCCCATGCTGCCCCCAGGACAAAGCTGGAGTCTACCTGTGTGTTTGTGCTGCTTCCGCTCTCTCTTCAACAAGCATTTATGAGCACTGCTAGGAACTCGTGCTCCATGTTAGACACACAGAGGCGACGGTTCCTTCCTCCAGGACCTCACAGGCCAATGGGGAGACACGCGGCCAAGCATGGTTGCAATAAAATATTCCAGGACGCAGTTATGCGCGGGTCCCTGCAGGAGACTCCCGTAGTGACTTGGCTTTGGGCGTGAAGAATGGGTTGCGGGTTGCACATAGAGATGATGTGTGGGAGGGAGGGTGCATCTCTGCCATGTATGTGTGTTGCTTGAAGGAGGCTGTGTGGTACGGGTGGGGCACTCTTAGGTGTAAATTGGGAATAGCCCTTAGTATTTAAATATTACCAGATTTGAAACATAAGGGTCACCATGTCCATTTTAGGAAGTTCCTCCTATGGCCCTAATAAGCAAAACAACCATCACCACCACCACCACGAGAAGCTAAACACCCACAACTCCTCAGGTCATGGGGATAGGCGTTTAGCCTAGTGTTTAAGAAACTCACATCCATGGGGCCGGCGCCGTGGCGCTCTACGTTAATTCTCCGCCTGCAGCGACGGCATCCCATATGGGCGCTGGGTTCTAGTCCCGGTTGCACTTTTTCCAGTCCAGCTCTCTGCTATGGCCTGGGAGGGCAGAGGAGGATGGCCCAAGTCCTTGGGCCCCTGCACTTGCGTGGGAGACCAGGAGGAGGCTCCTGGCTCCTGGCTTCAGATTGGCGCAGCGCTGTCTGTAGCAGCCATTTGGGGGGTGAACCAACAGAAGGAAGATCTTTCTCTCTGTCTCTCTCTCTCTCTCTCACTGTCTGTAACTCTACCTGTCGAATAAATAAATAAAATCTTAAAAAAAAAAAAAGAAAGAAACTCACATCCTGCATTGGAGTACTTGGGTTCAATTCCCAGCTCTGGCTTCTACCTCCAACCCTGGGAGACAGCACTGATGACTCAAGTAATTGGGTTCCTCAGCTCATGTGGGAGACCTGGATTGAGTTCCTGGCTCCTGGCTTTGGCCCTGGCCCTACCCCAGCCACTGTGGGCATTTGGCAAGTAAACCAGTGGATGGGTTCTCTGTCAAATAAATATTTTTAAAAAGATTTATGCATTTATTTGAAAGAGTTTCAGAGAGAGGGGGACACACACACACACACACACACACACACAGAATCTTCCATCTGCTGGTTCACTCCCCACGTGGCAACAACGGCTGGGGCTGAAACACCCTGGAGCCAGGAGCTTCTTCTGGGTCTCTCACGTGAGTGCAGGGGCCCAAGCACTTGGGCCATCTTCTACTGCTTTCCCAGGCCATAGCAGAGAGCTGGGTAGGAAGTGAAGCAGCCAGGACTTGGACTGGGGCCCATATGGGATGATGGCTTTGCAGGTGGAAGCCTAACTTGCTATGACACAGCACCAGCTGCAAATAAATAATTTTTTTAAAAGTGGTTTATAATCCTACCAAGCAGACAGGGATGGGGATCTGAATCATGACAGATGCCAGCCATGGTGTGTGTGTGTGTGTGCACCTGTGTGTGTGCATTCAGACTCAATGGTGGGGGCATTTGCTCCAGTTTGATGTCAGTCAAACAGTACATGGAGGCGGGTGGTCCTGTGGGAAGTTCTGTTTATATAGGAGAAATCTGCACTTTTTCAGGGGCCTGCATGAGTCTTTCATCCTCATGGTGATGTGCCATGCCACACGGTTTCCCACAGGCCTGTAATTCATTGCTAGTTGGCAATGACCTGACCATCCCTGGTCTAACTCAAATCCCTCTTGCTGCAGTGACACCTCACAACAGCTGGGGAGCAGGGCTGTTTGCTACAGGGGGGCCCATCCCCATTCTTTGCATCCCCCAACTTTAAGGCTACCCTCCCCCCAAGATCTACATAACCACAGAGGACAGTTGTTTTAGCTCTGCTCCTGAACTACAATGGCCTGGCTGTCACGGGCACCTGGGAGAGACACAGGCTGGAGCGTGGTGCCCTTTTTGGCAAAGACGCTCTCCCTCTGGTTCGGAGTCAGCCTCCAGCTGGTGGGGGCGGGGGAGGTGCAGGGACTAGATGGAAAGGGTTGGGGGGCCTCCCAGGGGGATTAGGGAGGGAGACACCAGGTCGGAGGGCACTTCTCTGAGACTGGGGGAACGAGAGAGTGGGTTCCGCTCACCTGCCCGCTGCCCCGACCTTGGACCACCCCAGACAGGGAAGCTGGCCAGCGCCTGCAGCAGGCACGGAGGGGAGGGGGGGTGGGGGGCGGTGCCAGGGGCAGCCTGGCTCCTCCTGCTGGCTGAGGGGTCCTGGAGGTGAGGGCTGGGAAGGTCTCTCTACGTGCTGTGGACGCACGCCCCGCCTCCTTCCGGGCCGCCCTCCCGATATGGGCTCTAACGGTGTCCCGCCTGGATTACTACTCGTGCTTTGAATCAACGGTTTTTATTTCTACAATTGACCTCTAGAGGAAACTTCACACGACTCTATCATGAGATACCCTAGCAGCCAAACCACAGGCTCAGTAGATGAGCGTCGCTCCTCGTGTATTGACGTAAGCACCCAGTTACTCAGGGTGCGGTAGATGCTTCCACTAGCTTTCCTCCATCCGCTCCCTGGCCCGGCCGGCCCCAGGGCTGGGAGGGCTCCCAGCGCCTCGGTCCCATCTCAACCACAGTGGTCCCCTCCTCATCTAGTTTCTGTATTGGGGTCACGCATAAGAGTTGGTAAAACGAGAGCGAACTCCACGACTTAAAAAAATACAGGTCTGCCTGCTGCTCACCGCGTCCAGCCTGCTCACTGCCCAGGTGAGGGGCCCGAGGTTCGGGGGGAAGGCCGGCTGGGGTCCCGCCACCGTCGGAGGCAGAGCCTGGCCCACAACCCAGGTCAGAGCCCTCCCCAGGGACACAGAGAAGCTTCCTCTATCCTTTAAGGAGACGCGGGCTGACGGCTGGGAGTCGTGGAAGGTCCAAGCTGGGATGGGAGTGGGGGAAGTGGCGAGTTTGGTGGGTGGGCAGCAGGGCTGGGGAGGCAGCCCTTTGAGCACAGCCGGACCCTGCTGAGGACACACCTGGGAGGAGGACAGGTCCTCGCCCCTCCCCCCCAACACTCCGCGGGATCCTGGGGATTATGGACTTAGTAACTCCCCACCCCCACTTTATTTAGTCTCAACTCCTGCCAGCCCCTTCTCCTGCCAGTCTTGGCATGCCACCCTGCAGCGTGGGCACTCCCACGGCTGATCGGCCCCTGCTTCCAACTGAGAGCTCCGAGACTCCTGTGGGTGCCCCCCACCCACCCGGCCAGGCACAGTTCCGCCAGGAGCAGCTGATGGGGAATGGGGGGGGGGGAGTATCTGAGTTCCCTGGAAGCCCCAGTGACTCCTCCATGTCTGCCCCTGCAGCCCTCCCCCAGCCCCACTCAGCCCTGCGGGAAGAGCTGGGAAGTGCCTGCCAGGGTGGCAGTGGACGTGGACAGGCTGAGCCGGGGCCCCTCCCACAATAGTGAAGTCCTGGGCCAGCCTGGAGTCGTGGAGGGGGTCAGGGACGCCCGTGCGGCCCCAGGCCCCTCAGAACATGGCACTTTTCCGTCTCTGCTGCGAGATCCAGCCGCCAGGGTTCACATCCATCTGCAGCATCTTCATCACCCACGGGTCGCGGCGCGCGCCTTCGATGAACTCGTTCAGAGACAGCTGCCCTGTGAGGCGGCGGCGGGGGTGGGGGTGGAAGGAGACGGTCAGGTGGGAGGGAAGAGCGGGGGCGGCGGCTGGCGGAGGATGCGCCCCCCACCCCTCAGACAGAGCAGTCTGCAGATTAAGGTCCCAAGCTGTGGCTGGCCGACTATCCGATTCTCCAGGTGTGCCCTAGAAGCTTTAAGGGGACTTCTTTGCCCGTGGTAGCGCTAAAATGCTGGGTGGAGCTGAGCCCTCGTCCGTGTGTGTGCTCCAAGCCGGCTCTCTCCCTGCCTCGCCCTGGGACGGACATCTACAGGAAGGACACACCCAGGCACACCTGGGTGCAGGCCCACCCCGAGCCTGCCACTTGAGCACACTGCCCCGGGCCTCCTATCAGCCCCATCCCCAGGCGAGGACGCGGAGAGCAGGCTGAGAAGCTGAATAGGGTCCTCCAGGCCTGCCTGACTGCCTAGCTCCCGTTCCTCCTACTGCCCCCTACTGGCCTCCAGCGGCAGCCCCCGGGGTGTCTGGGTCGCTGTCATTTCATGGAATCCTCGGGAGGGGGAGGGTGCCCAGGGAGACGCGGCCAGAAAGCCCGCCCCCGCTGCTCCGCCCCCTCACCATCTCCGTTCTCATCCACCAGCAGGAAGATCCTGTCCACGACCTGCTCCGGCGTGAGCAGCTCGCCTTGCTGCTCGACCTCCATGTCCACCCGGCAGGCTTTCTTCAGCTTGTAAATCGCCTGCGGAGAAAATCCCCGCGTCCGGACCTGCAAACTGGTCCCCACCCCCGCCACCCACGTCCCAGGAGCCACCTCCCCCTCGCTGCCAGGACCACAAGAGCCAGACCCAGATCCAAGCTGATCTGCCCTGAGGCTAACTCCAGGGAGGGCTAAGCGTCCTCCTGCAGTGCGGGCCTCCCATATGGGTGCTGGTTTGGGTCCTGGCTGCTCGCTGGCCCAGGCTGGGTGGCCACAACCTCTCCCGGCCCCGCTGCCACAGCCAAGCTTGTTCCATGCCCGGGGCAGAACCCAGCCCGGGCCCTGGCAGGCGGGGAACGCTACAGAATTAGGCCTCAGCCTTTCCTTGTTCCCACGGCTGACGACACCCAGAAACCAGGGCCACCGGCTACCTAGGCCAGCAGCCGGGCACGGGGGAGGCAGCCCTTTAATGCCCTTTAAGGGGTTGGCGTTGTGGCGCAGTGGGCTAAAACCTCTGCCTTTGGCGCCGGGTTGGAGTCTGGCTGCTCCAATTCCAGTCCAACTGTGCTATGCCCTGGGAAAGCACTGGAAGATGGCTCAAGTCCTTGGGCCCCTGACCCGTGTGGGAGACCCAGAAGAAGCTCCTGGCTCCTGGCTTCCAATTGGCCCAGCTCCTGCCATTGTGGCCATTTGGGGAGTGAACCAGTGGATGGAATATCTTTCTCTCTATCTCCCTCTCTCTGTCTGTAACTCTACCTCTCAAATAAATAAATCTTTTTTAAAAAGGGATGTTTATTTTGATGCAAAAATATTTTGAAATCCACACTTAGCTTTTTCATAATATGCTTTTCCACAAACTTTTGAAGATGTCCTTATGTATGGATTTCAAAAAGTTTCCAAGTGCTGCTTTTCTCCCTACGTGTCTGCAATGGCTGGGGCCAGGCCAGGGCTAAAGCTGGGACTTCCATCCAGGTCTCTCTCTGGGGGACAGGGACCCAGTGACTTGAGCCATCATTGCTGCCTCCCAGGGTGTGCATTAGGAAGCTGGAGTCAGGAGCTGGAGCCAGCACTTGAACCAAGGCCTCTGACGTAGGATGCAGGCATCTAACATCCACCCCGGACTTTTCATTCCACTTCAACAAACTTTTTGATGGGTAAAATAGAATGACAGAGGTACAGGTGGGGAGAAAAATCGCTTTCTCTTTTGCTCCATCTCCTTGTCCAGTGAGCGCGCCTTTGTGAAGGTGACAGCTATGGGGAGGCACCTTGGTTCCTGGACAGGGTGGGCACTCCGAGGACAGGGCAGAGCCTTAGGGATCTCCTGGCCCCACTGCCCAGCTCACAGCCTGGCACAAAGCGGGCTTGGGGCCAGTGCCATGGCTCACTTGGTTAATCCTCCGCCTGCGGCGCTGGCATCACATATGGGCGCCGGTTCTAGTCCCAGCTGTTCCTCTTCCAGTCCAGCTCTCTGCTGTGGCCCGGGAGGGCAGTGGAGGATGGCCCAAGTGCTTGGGCCCCTGTACCAGCATGGGAGACCAGGAGGAGGCTCCTGGCTCCTGGTTTTGGATTGGCGCAGTTCCGGCTGTAGCGGCCATTTGGGGAGTGAACCAACGGAAGGAAGACCTTTCTTTCTCTCTCTCTCACTGTCTATAACTCTACCTGTCAAATAAAAAAAGTGGGGCTCACAGAGGGGTCTGGGGAGTCTGAGGGTGGAAGCCACTCCAGCACTCCCGAGGACGTGAACTTGGGAGCCTGCAGGACCTCCGTGAGGCCTCTCCTCCTCTGTACAGCAGGGCTAACCTGCTCACCTCCCGGAAAGTTCCGGTGATTAAAATGTTAACGCAGTCTGGAATACACAAGGGGACTTCCAAATGTGGGTGGGAAACTGGAATTAAAAGAGGTTTATTCTGGAGCAGTTCATAATACATTCTTTCTAGGAACTTGTTGAAGATCCCCTGTTATACATGGATTTCAACATTTTTGCACGACAATACATTTATCGTTGAATTCCATGTTCCATGAGCGGTTTGACGCCACCCGTGTGAGGTCCTTCTCCCCCTTGATCGGCTTGCTGGCAGTCTCTCTGATCCGTTAGTCTTTTCAAAGAAGCGACATTTGATTTTGTTGGCTTTTTTCCTCTTGTGTGCCTGTTTTCTCTTTTATTAATTTATGCTGTTGATATTTCCTTTCTCCTACTTTCTTTTGCTTTAAGAGATTATTTATTCAAACAGCAGAATGAGTGAATGAGTGAGGGTGGGAGGGAGGGATTTTCCATCTGCTGGTTCACTCCCCAAATGGCTGGAATGGCCAGGGCTGGGCCAGGCTGAAGTGGGAGCCAGGAGCTCCGTCTGGGTCTCCCACGTGGGTGAAAGGGACCCAGGTGTTCAGGTCACCCTCTGCTGCCTTCCCAGGCCCCTCAGTAGGAAGCTGGATCTGAGATGGAGCAGCTGGGACTTGAACTGGGGCTCGTAGGGGATGCCGCGGCGTTACAATGCCGGCTCCTCTTCTATTTTCTTTGGGTTTTAATTCACTCCTCTGTTTCCTAATTTATCGAGATGGTTTCTTAGACCATTGATTTTCCAACTTTCTTATTTTCTCATGTTTACATTTCTCTGCAAGGCCAGTTTTAGCTATATTCCATGTTCCAATTATTTTTCAGGTCAAAACACTTACTTGACTCACGGAATTTTGTCCAATTATTTCTGAGGGTTTTTGGGTTTGTAGTTGACTTCTAGCCTAATCCACTGTGGTCAGAAATACTCTGGATGGTTTCACACCTCCCGCACCCCCGCGCCCCCTCCCCCGCCGAGGAGGCCCCCACAGCGCCACCCCGGGGCCGCCCTCCGAGCCCTGCGAGCAGACACTGACCTCCACGATGTCCAGCAGCTCCAGGCGGTCGATGCAGCCGTTGCGGTCCTTGTCGTAGATCTTGAAGGTCCACTTCAGCTTGTGCTCCAGGGTGCCCCTGAGCACGAGGTTCAGGGCGGCCACGTACTCCAGGAAGTCGATGGTGTTGTCCTGCACCGGGAGCGGCTGCTGCTGAGGGTGCACCAGCCACAGCCCCCGCTCCTGCCCTGGGCACATGCGCGAACCCTACTCCTCTCCACGGCCCAGGTGCCGCTGCCTCTTTGCTCATCTGTTCTCTGCCCCTAGGGCCCTTTCTCATTCTTTGTGACCCAACCCTCCCCATCCTTCAAGGCTGGGTCCAGGACCACGGCAGCCACAGCCTCCTTCTCCCTCCACCATACCCCTCGCCCCCAGTCTATAGCGTCTACTGCCAATTCTACATGGTGTTGGACTTGCTCCAGAACTGTAACTTCACATCCCTGGGAGAAATCGGAAGGGCTGACATCACTCCCATTTCTCACTCATGCCTGGCCCAGTGCTGCCTGTGCCCACTTGGGGTCCTGTCAATATTGGCCAAGCAGTGAGCAAATAATGATTTGGACTGGATCTGAATTTGGGTTTCAGGTGGTTCTGAGAGGAGACAAGAAAGCAGGTTTTCGGGGTTTTGGCGGGGAGGATACTGGGCGTTCCCTCTTGTTGAACGTGTTCCTAATGTTTTACACTACACAGTGAACACGTTAGTGCCTGTGTGTTTTTTCTTATCTCTCTGGTAACTTCTCTAGGGTAGATTCCTAGCAGTGGTTGTGTATCCTTTCAAAGGCTATTTTCTTTCATAGTTATTTATTTATTTGAAAGGCAGAGTGACAGAGAGAGTGAGATCTTCCATCTGTAGGTTCACTCCTCAAATGGCGACAGTGGCCAGGGCTGGGCTAGGCTGGGCTCCCATATTCGTCTCCCATGTGGGTTGCAAAGTCTCCAACTCCCAAGCCATCATCCACTGCTTTGCCAGGAGCAAATGGCTCCAGATGGCTGTGATGGCCAGGACTAGGTCAGGGCGAAACTGGGACGGAAGTACTCAGGCCAGGTCTTCCGGGTGAGTGGCATCAGGGCTGCCTCCCGGCGTCTGCCCTGGTGGAAAGCCTGAGTCAGTAGCCGGAGCTGGGACTGAAGCCCAGGTACTGGAACGTGGCGTGAGACTAAGCCAACCCCCGCTCCCTCGTTGTTTTCAACCTGAACGGAGCTTGAAACGCAGTCTCCATGCTACAGATGGGTGACCCAGGCCACCTGGCCAGCAAGCAGCAGGCCTGTTGGCTGCACACCTCTTCTGGTTCAGCGCATGGACAAACTCTGGGCTCGCAGACACAACCCTGTCTAATATGAGGCACGTCTCCCTTCCTGACAGGTGAGCTCACCGGTGTGGCTCCTGCGCGGCCGGGATCATCACTGGGAAGCTTCCAGCAGGACTAATCTCACGGGCCCTTGTCAGCTCCAATTACACGCGGGGCCCTGTGAGGGACAGAGACGCCTGGGCCTGTTCTGGAAGGGGCCGGGCTTGGCATCCGCCCTGGGGCAGCACCCGCTGGGGTCTCCCTGAATCCGCCCACGGAGGTGGGTTATGTAAGAATCCCAAGTGCCACTTGATCCTCAGCCTCCCTGTTCGTCCCACCCAGGGGGGAAGAGAGCTGCAGGGGGAAGTGGGGGGGGCGTTCCTCCTCTTGCCACCGGGAACCCCTCCCCACCCCCATTTCCATTGTCCCAGGTTTGAGCTAGATCTACGAATGCTTTAATTCGTCCCTGATAGGAAGATTGTGCCAAGGCTGGGCATGGAGTCAGCCCCTGGACAGAGGAACTTCTAGGACATTCTCCCTTTTTTTTTTTTGACAGGCAGAGTGGACAGTGAGAGAGAGAGACAGAGAGAAAGGTCTTCCTTTGCCGTTGGTTCACCCTCCAATGGCCACCATGGCTGGCGTGCTACGGCTGGCGCACTGCGCTGATCCGATGGCAGGAGCCAGGTACTTCTGGTCTCCCATGGGGCGCAGGGCCCAAGCACTTGGGCCATCCTCCACTGCACTCCCTGGCCACAGCAGAGAGCTGGCCTGGAAGAGGGGCAACCGGGACAGAATCTGGCGCCCCGACCGGGACTAGAACCCGGTGTGCCGGCGCCGCAAGGCGGAGGATTAGCCTAGTGTGCCGCGGCGCCCAGGACATTCTCCCTTACAGTAGAACACCAACCAGTGTATCCCAGAGCAGAGGTGGACTAGAAAACCACCCGTGTCGCCAGCTCATTTACGTCACAGTTTGCTGAGCACCAGGATCCTGACTCGTCTCAAGACGCTGATTATTGAGAGGAAAAACGGTCCACCACAGTGGGGAAACCTGGCAGACGCCTCCCTGAGCAAATGGTGGAAGGTGACGTCGGTGACGTCGGTGGCGGCCTGGTCTGACACACACAGGGGCACACGGCAATCCTGCCGGAAGTCTGACAACTGAGTGTCGTCCCTGGGAAACACTGCACAAGCTCAAACTGTGGGCCACTCTACAAAACAACTGGGCTGCAGTCTTCAACAATGTCTAGGTCACAGAGGACAGAGAAAAGCTGAGGTCAAAGGAGACACAGGAGACAGGTCAGAAAAAAAAAGCTGTAAAAGACAGTAGTGGGGAGTAGCTTCCAAATGTCTCCCCATAAAAAATGACAGGCAAGCCAGGTGCTGGCTTTGGGCACTGGCTTGGCTTAATCATCCCTTATGGTATATCTGTATCAAAACAGAACATCCTATATCTTAGGGTGTGTCAATCAAAAATCCTGTTAATTCAAAAAAGCCACTGTTGGGACAACTGACTGAATTTGAACATGGATTGCCACTTAGGTCATAGAATTTTGATCAATGTTCAATTTCCCTATTTTAATAATTGTATTTAAGATAATGTCCTTATTCTTAGAAAATGCACACTGAAATGTTTAGAGGTAAAAAAGCATGATGCTACACTTTCTCTTTAAAAATGTGTGTACAGGGGCCGCCGGCGCCATGGCTCAGTTGATTAATCCTCTACCTGCGGCACCGACATCCCATATGGGTGCTGGGTTCTAGTCCCGGTTGCTCTTCTTCCAGTCCAGCTCTCTGCTGTGGCCCGGGAAGGCAGTGGAGGATGGCCCAAGTGCTTGGGCCCCTGCACCCGCATGAGAGACCAGGAAGAAGCACCTGGCTCCTGGCTTCGGATCAGTGCAGCTCTGGCCATGGCAGCCATTTGGGGAGTGAACCAACCAAGAGAAGACCTTTCTCTCTGGCTCTCTCTCTCTCACTGTCTATAACTCCACCTGTCAAATAAAAAAAATGTGTGTACAGTATAAATTATACATGGTGTCTGTGCATACAACACGTTAGCTATACGTGTATATATATGTTGAGAGGGAGAAAATGATAAAGACGTGAATGTAAACAAATAGGGACTCTGAATAAATTGTACAGGAGAGCTACAGGTGCTATTCTTAGAGTTTTTCCTGTAAGTTTAGGATCATCTCAATTAAAAACTACTTAAAAAGCAATGGGGACCGTGAGGTGCTGATTTACAAGAAGAGATGAGGTGTTCCGAGTGCAGCTGTACTACGCCTGGAGGCTTAGTAATCCCTTTTGGAGCTTGGATCTCTATAGAATTGGAGTTCTAGACAAATACAGGGGCGATGGATGCATTTATGATTGTAAGACTTGCTACCTGTGACCTGATATATCTCCTGGTATTTTTAGTTACTTCTCTTGTGAAGTTCAATACTTAAAACATCATTTCCTCTCTGATGTGTGTGTGTGTGTGAAGCAGAGAGGCAGTTCCATCGGCTGAGTCATTCCTCATATGCCTGTACTGGTCGGGGCTGGGCCAGGCTGAAACTGGGAGCTGGGAACTCAATCCATGCCCACATGGGTGTCAGGAGCCCAGCTACTGGGCCACCCCCACCATCACCCCGGGTCTGCACTGGAGGAAGCTGGAGTCAGCAGCCAGAGTGGGCACTGAAGCCAGGCAGTGCGCTGTGGGACGCGGGCACCTGACTGCCAGGCTGTGCACCAGCCCCCATGTCCTGTTGGACCCACTCCCACCTCCCGCCTGCGCTCCAGGCAGGAGCACTCGACTGGGAGTCAGGACCCCCGAGGATACAACCTTGGGCAAATCAATTCCCTTCCTTTTGCTCCAGTTTTCTCATAACTGAATTTAAAATGACCCAAATGTCCCTCCCCTGCCCCACCCCTGCCATCCCAACCAGCCGCCCCTGACTCAGAGAAAGAAGCAGAGGGGCTCTGGAAAGTCTGAGGCCGCCTCTGTGCTCTGGGGGTGGTGGAACAGCTCCCGGCCGGCCAAGGGCGAGCTCAGGTCTCGGCTAACAGAGCCTGGTCCACGTGGGCCGTCACTTTTGCTCCTGGTGTCTGGAGCAACAGAGGCTCTGGGGGGTGTGAAAAAGCAGGCTCGTGGAGCTCAGAGCCTGGGGCCCAAAGTCCACCAAGAGAAGCCCTGGACTGGGGGCCAGCCCACCGCCAGCTCTCGGAAGGGGAGACAGGAGCAGGGATGAGAAGTTGCCAAGGGGACCAGTGCTGTGGCATAGTAGGTTAAGCCTCCCCCTGTGGCACCAGCATCCCATATGGGAGCTGGTTCAAGTCCTGACTGCTCCTCTTCCAATCCAGCTCTCTTCTGTGGCCTGGGAAAGCAGTAGAAGGTGGCCCAAGTCCTTGGGCTCCTGCACCCACATGGGAGACCCAGAAGAAGCTCCTGGCTGTGGATCAGCCCAGCTCCGGCCATTGTGGCCATTTGGGGAGTGAACCAGAGGATGGAAGATCTTTCTGTCTATAACTCTGCCTCTCAAATAAATCAATAAATCTTAAAGAAGGAAGGAAGGAAGGAAGGAAGGAAGGAAGGAAGGAAGGAAGGAAGGAAGGAAGGGAGGGGCTGGGGACCAGAGTGATGGGGAGACAGAAATGAGTTTGGGGGGAAGAGCTGGGAGAGAAGAGCAGGGCAGGGGGGTTCGGGGCGCACCTCTAGCTGAGGAAGAGAGGCACACCAGCTGGCCTGGCCACCAGCCCTCCCCTCCACGGTGCCTTACCCCGTTCTTGTCGAAGGCTCGGAACATGCCCTCCACATACTGGGTGGCCTCCTCGTTGCCCGTGACCTTGAAGAAGCGCTTGAACTCGTGCATGAAGAGGGTGCCGCTCGGGCACTCCACCACGAACTTCTTGTACCACTCCTGCAGCTCGGCCACGTCCATCTCGCCGGCCTCCTCCGCCTCCTCCCAGCTGAACTGCTGCCCCATCTTGGCCCCGAGGCACGTCCCGGACGAGGGTCTGTGTCTGCTCCCAGGCCTCTGCCGACTGACGCCTCAGGCTCGGGCCCTCTCCTCTCCCTGCCCAGCTCCTTCTGCAGCTCCAGGCCAGGTGGACGTGATTGGTGGCAGGGGGCAGGTCCAGGACAGCTAAGCTGCCCTAAGACCATTAGACGATTCCCCTGGCAGGTCTGACTCAGGCTGCTCAGCTCCCCAGCCTCCCCCCTCCCCCAGCCTTGCAGCCAAGCACCCACGCTGGCCCCCACAGAAGCTGAAGAGGGCAGAGGGCAAGAAACTGGTAGGTGGTAGGGGTGAGGAGGAACTGGGGCGGCAGGCTGGGGCCCTCCCATCTCACACGGGCTGCCTGTCTGGGTGCTAGGCGTCCTGGGCTCCGGAGAGGCCCATCCTGGAGACACAGGAGGCTCTGAAGTCCAGACAGGAAGCCCTGGTGATCCGGGCCTCGCCCGCCCACCTGGCCCAGCGAGCAGCGGCAGACGCTGGGCGGGGAAGGGTCTGGGGAGCCGCTCAGTCCCCGGTGCAGTTTCTCTATTTCTGAGTTAAAATGCAAATGTTGGGGCTGGCCTTGTGGCGCAGCTGGTTAAAGCCATGCCAGCATCCCATATGGGCGCTGGTTTGAGCCCTGGCTGCTCCACTTCCAATCCAGTCTCTGCTAATGAGCCTGGGAAAGCAGCGGAGGAGGGCCAGAGTCCTCAGGCCCCTGCATCCACATGGGAGATCCATTTGGAGCTCCAGGCTCCTGGCTTTAGCCTGGCCTCGCCCAGGCTGTTGCAGCCTTTTTGAGAGAGTAAACCAGCAGTTGGATGACCCCCCTCCCCGCCCCCGTAAGTATTCTTTTAAAAGAAGTAAATAAATAAATAATTTTTTTTAATACAAATGTCTGCCTCCAACCTTATCCAAGACCTAGAGATGGTGCTTTCCTCCCGGACAAGGATCAGGGAGCAAGCCCTTAGTGTCTGCGTGATCTTACTTTTGTGCTAAAGGTCACGCACACCCACCCATCAATTATGGGTACACTCATGCTTATTCTCATGCGCTATAAAAACGACACCTCCAAGAAATCAGAAATCTCCAGATTTCAGTGGAAGTAGCTGCTTAGTCTCTCAGAATCTGGCCTTTGGCACTATTGTTGTGGTGCAGCCAGTTGAGATGCTGCCTACGATGCCAGCATCCCATATGGGCCCCGGTTCAAGTCCCGGCTGCTCCACTTCCGATCCAGCTCTCTGCTGTGGCCTGATAAAACCAATGGAAGATGGCCCGAGTCCTTGGGTCCCTGTCACCCACATGGGAGATCAGGATGGAGGTTCCAGGCTCCTGGCCCAGCCCCAGCCATTGCAGCCATTTGGGGAGTGAACCAGCAGATGGAAAACCTCTCTATCTCTTCCTCTGTCTGTACCCCTGCCTTTCAAATAAATACGTCTTAAACAAAAGAATCTGTGCTTGGACTTGGGGGTGGCACTGCGCATGCCTCGTTCCAGAATGGTGGTGCCCGTTTCCAGGCCTGGTCTCATCTCCCACCGCCCACTGCCTCCAGAGGGCCCCAGTCTCTCCAGGCTCTTCCGCCTTCCCAGCCTCTCCCACTGGGAACCCCGCTTGCTCGGCCATCCTTTTGAGGACTGGTGGATTTTTCTCCCACATCCCTCAAGATCCCGAGAGCAGGGCTCGCGTCCTTCCCGCTCCTTTCTGTCCTTTCCTTTGCTCTGAAGCCACGCCCCACTCTACTCTCTTCCTCACTCTTCCTCTTCCTCACTGCCATCAGCGGCAGGCGACGTCAACAACTCATCAGACAAGCGGTCCGACCCACACTGGGCCTCAGAGGCCCGGAAGAGCTTTCCTTCCACCCACCTTGCGATCTATGGGCCAACAGCTGCAGCATCTGGAGTGCGTTAGAAATGCAGCCTCGGGCCCCGCCTCAGACCTACTGGATGGAGACCTGTAGGAGTGGGCCGAGCAACACGGAGGTCAGAGGCGCTGCCTGGGCCTCGCTGTCGCCAGTCGCTCTGTCGTGTCTGGAACAGGCAGAGCCAGCTCTCATCCACGAGAGCAAACCCATCCAGTTTGCTTATTCCAACACCTTCCCTCCAAAAATGCCCCAACTTTGTTGAGAATTCCAACCTGTTGATGTGTTTATTTTTTAAACATTTATTTGCTTACTTGGGAGGCAGGAAGACAGGCCAAGAAAGAGACAGAGAGAGCTTCTATTTCTTTCTTTCTTTCTTTCTTTTTTTTTTTTTTTTTGACAGGCAGAGTTAGAGAGACAGAGAGAAAGGTCTTCCTTCCGTTGGTTCACCCCCTCAAATGGTTGTTACAGCTGGTGCGCCGCGCCGATCTGAAGCCAGGAGCCAGGTGCTTCTCCTGGTCTCCCAAGAGGGTGTAGGGCCCAAGGACCTGGCCATCCTCCACTGTACTCCCTGGCCACAGCAGAGAGCTGGCCTGGAAGAGGAACAACCGGGACAGAATCCAGTGCCCCGACCAGGACTAGAACCCGGGGTGCCGGCGCCACAGATGGAGGATCAGCCTAATGAGCCGTGGCGCCGGCCTAGAGCTCCTATTTGTTGATACAGTCCCAAAATGGCCACCATGGCTGGGGTTGGGTCAGAGCTGGTACCAAGAGCTGGGAATGCAATTCGGGTCTCCCATGGGTGGCAGGGACCTGCTTACTTGAGCCATCGCCTGCTGCCTCCCAGGGTGGGCACTAGCAGGAAGCTGGAATTGGGAGTGGGTTCAGGACTTGAACCCAGGCACTTGGATATAGGGTGCGGGCATCCCAGGCCGCGTCATACCTGCTGTGCCGAGCGCCCTCCCCCAGTGTGTTTTAACATCTGCCACCTCGTTCACATCTGCTTTCCTCTTTATCCTTATTTCATGGCCAGCACTAAAGCCATGTCCTTGCCATAACCTTGTCTTTTTCAAAAATTTATTTATTTGATAGAGTTAGAGAGAGAGAGAGAGAGAGAGAGAGAGATTGGGAGGGAGGGAGAGAGAGAGCGATCTTCCATCTGCTGGACTCCCCAGATGGCTGCAAGGAGCCAGGAGCTTCATCCGGGTCTTCCACATGGGTGGCAGGGATCCAAACACTTGAGCCATCTTCCTCTGCTTTCCCAGGCCATTAATAGGGAGCTGGATTGGACGCGGAGCATCCAAGACATGAACTGGTGCCCATATGGGATGCTGGCATTGCAGGCGCTGGTTTAACCTGCTACACCACAATGCTGGCCCCCATAACCTTGACTTTTGTGTTCCTCCCTCCTCCTAACTACCCTATTGGTAAAACCTGACTCAGGCTGAAGCGATGCACTCATCAAGTGCCAACGCCTCACCTGCACCCAGGAGGCAGCACACTGCTGGGGAGCTCCTGAAATCACGCGGCCTGCACGCACTTCAGACCTCGCCCGGCGCACTCTTCCCTGCTGGATTCGCTCCCATTCCGAGCTGAGTTCTGCAGGGCTTCCCGCCCTTGCAGCTTCCACTCACGCCCACGCTCAGCTGGTGCCCCGGCCGCACCTTCATGGACACAGATGGAGCAGGGATGGCCCATCTTCCCCCGTGATCGCCGCCTTGTCCCCACCTGTGCCCAGCTCCCCCACTCCCATCTGGTTTCAACGCAGGCGGTGTCTTCCCCATCCTGCCGCTCCTGTCAGCTCCGCCCCTCACTTCCTGGATCACGTCTCCTCATTCTTCCCTGTCTGATCCACCATTCCAGTGGCATTCAGCGGCATCTTTACTAAGGCAAAACAAAATGGACATCCTGGGGCCGGTGCCGTGGCACAGTAGGTTAATCCTCAGCCTGCGGTGCTGGCATCCCATGTGGGCGCCGGTTCGAGGCCTGGCTGCCCCTCCTCCAGTCCAGCTCTCTGTTGTGGCCTGGAAGAGCAGTAGAAGATGGCCCAAATCCTTGGGCCCTGCACTCACATGGGAGACCAGGAAGAAGCACCTGGCTCCTGGTTTTGGATCAGCACAGCTCCGGCCGTTGCAGCCATTTGGGGAGTGAACCAACGGAAGGAAGACCTTTCTCTCTGTCTCTCCCTCTCACTGTCTGTGACTACCTCTCAAATAAATAAATAAATAAAATCTTTTTAAAAAAAAAATGGACATCCTTCCTTGGCCTCACATTCAGGGGCAACTGTGACTTTTCACAGATGCCAGACACTTTCGCCATCATGGGTCATACAATAAATATTGAATAAGTATTAAGTAAAAAATTTTTAAAAATTTAAGATTCATTTTATTCATTTGAAAGACAGTTACACAGAGAGAGGTAGAGACAGAGAGAGAGGTCTTCCATCCGCTGGTTCACTCCCCAGATGGCCGCAATGGCAGGAGCGGCGTCAATCCGAAGCCAGGAGCCAGGAGCTTCTTCCGGGTCTCTCACATGGGTGCAGGGGCCCAAGACTTCGACCATCTTCTATTGCTTTCCCAGGCTATAGCAGAGAGCTGGATTCGAAGAGAAGCAGCTGGGACTAGAACCGGCGTCCATTGGGATGCCGACGCTTCAGGCCAGGGCTTTAACCCATTGCACCACAGCACCGGCCCCTAAATATCAAAAAAATTATACTGTATTGGCCAGCGCCACGGCTCACTAGGCTAATCCTCCACCTGTGGTGCTGGCACCCCAGGTTCTAGTCCCGGTTGGGGCGCCAGTTCTGTCCCGGTTGCTCTTCTTCCAATCCAGCTCTCTGCTGTGGCCAGGGAGTGCAGCAGAGGATGGCCCAAGTGCTTGGACCCTGCACCCGCATGGGAGATCAGGAGGAAGCACCCGGCTCCTGGCTTCGGATTGGTGCAGTGCGCAGGCCGTAGCAGCCATTAGGGGAGTGAACCAACGGAAGGAAGACCTTTCTCTCTGTCTCTCTCTCACTGTCTATAACTCTGTCAAATAAATAATAATAAAATAAATTATACTGTATCATTCATGAACATAACCCAGACTTATTTTTCCTCTTTCGTTATGATTTTGAAAGAAATTAAAAATATTATGGGTCCTAGGCACTGTGCCCACACTCCCCTCTCGCTATCCTCACTTTTGCTCCCCTTATAGTGAAACCCCTCATGGCTGATGTATTTTCCAAAAAAGGCACAAGAGTTCCAGGCTCACATGCTCGTCTCATCAAGGGGAAAAGTCTATTTATCCTTCTTTTAGACCCGGGTGAGCCTTTGGCTGCACCATTGAGAATACCCGGAAGTGACACTGCCTTCCAAGGCATACTCATCAAGTGACAGATTTCCATGGAAGCAGGCGCCATGCTGTGAAGACAAGGGCGTACGGAGGGTTCCAGCTGACGGTCTCAGCACGGGTGTCTGCTGACACCAGCCTCAGCCTCAGATGACTGCGGCCCCAGCCTTTGGGCTTCCCCAGCTGATACCAAGTGGGGCAGACGCTGTCCCACAGAGCCCTGATCAAACTGCAGATCTGTGTGCGAAGCAAATGTTTTATCACTATTTTAAGCCACTAAGTGTTGGATATTTTCTAAGTTAGTAACAGGTCATGGAACATTCTGAAACCTGTTCTGCATCCTCTTAAAATTGTTTTAAAATTTATTTGAAAGTTCAGAGTTACGCGGGCGGGGGGAGAGAGAGAGAGAGATCTTCCATCCACTGGTTCACTCCCCAAATGGTCACAAAGGCCAGGATTGGGCCAGGCTGAATCAGGAGCCCAGGGTTTCTTCTGGGTCTCCCACGTGGGTGCAGGGGCCCAAGCACTTGGGGCATCTTCCGCTGCCTTCCCAGGTGCATTAGCAGGGAGACAGATTGGAAGTGGAAGAGCTAGGACTTGAACTGGTGCTGTTATGAGCGATGCTGATGTCACAGGTGGTAGCTTAA